TCAGTGACTGGCCGATCATAAAACAGGACCATAAGTGAACTAGCGTGACCCAGAATTAATGAGATAATCAAGCATAAGAGTGGCTTACCGATGTTGCCACGAGGATATTGACACTGCCTTCGCGGAAGAGACGGACTCCCTGCGTCCTCTGATATTGTGACCGTCCGCCATGAACACATACGGACTTGATACTCTGACGGGTGAGATAGTTATCAACCATATCGGCATCGCGTTTAGTATTGCAGAACACCAGAACTCTAGTGATGTTCGTAGGGGCCACGGTTTTAGCTGAAGGAGGGGAAGTCAAAAAGCAGACGTTTAGTCAGCACAGCAAAGAACATACTTAGATACACAGCACAGAGCCTAAAGAAAATTGCCTCGGTACGCTTTGTTTTTTCCATCAATGGCCACATAGGAGCCGAAAATTTTAAACACTCATCGCTTAAATTACTTTTGTAGGAAAATTTGCGTACTAGAGCGGATGACTGAATTCATGAAATCTCGTGATGGAAATTTAAGTGGGTAGTTCGGCATACATTTTGGTTATTTTTGAATTGATCTGAGGTTCAGAAAGCCTTGTAATAAAGGACGCGTTTTAAGTCTGTGTTATTGAAGGAAAACAGGTTAGATTTGAGCGAAATCGCACGTTTACGGATATCCTAATAATCTACGCTCTTCAATATCATGGATCAGAACCTACTGGACAAGTGTGCTGTGCTATAAAAGGGCCATAAAATAAACAGGAAAAATTTTCAAGATATCTATTCTGGAGCCGAAAAGCCTTTTTCTACGTCAATTCAGTGTGGGCTGTGAAGCACTTCAGTCCTGCTCACAGCCCGGATCTCGAGCCTAAAGAAAAGCTCTTACCGCTAAGCAAAAGCTGCATGTTGTAGTCAATAAGTTCATGGACAAATCCACCTTAGGCAACTTGGTGGTTTCTGTCAGCCCAAATTATCAGTTTTACACGCAAAAGGCCAATCAAGGAAGTACTACTATTTATTGGGTTTACATGATAAAATATACAGACACTATAGGGGATAGCTAAAAGCCCAGTACTAATATGTTGTATTTACAGTTGCGACAATTTCCATTAAAAATTCAAAAGTTAAGTTGGCGAGCATATGTTCGCTTTCGATTAATTCACTTTACGCCTGCACAATTATACCGTAATTTAGTTGAACCAATTGTGAAAAAAAACTCGCGACATTCGGCGGGATACGAACCCGCATAGGAGGGAAGGCCTTCTACGCAAGCCAACGCTCTACACACTTGAGCTACGAATGCCATGCTTCACACCGTGAGGATAATCACATTTGGATCGATATTACCCGCTCAACTTTGCCGCTCGTATGGAATCCACCAATACGGAACAGCAAGTTGACTGACCAAGCAGAATTTCCTAAGCAATCATCTAGAATCCACCAGGGTGACTAATAGGCTGACTTAATTATTTAGGAGGTTTGGCACTTTTGGTTAATTTATTTGGCCCAATTTTAGTTGACCCGGCATTCGGCGGGAGTTTTTTCACAATTGGGTCAACTAAATTAGCCAAATCTTTCAAACCTCCTGAGTAAATATATCGTAAATGAAATATGCGGGTTGGTCGAAAAATCAGGTGATTGTCAGGATCGGGGGAACACAATTCGGACCATTAATCTGATGAGGTTCAGGGGGACTGGCCGCCGGGAAATAAATTAAGTAGTGCGAAGCAGGAGCAGAATAGTCTAGAGTCGTGTGTCGTCAAAACATATTACGACAGATAATGACTGCAAACGGAGAGCCCGCGAAAAGCTGCTCTGAGCAGTTACGCTTTCGAATCTCCACACTCTAACTCCTTTGGCGCGAGGGACTTTCTCTGTGAGGCATATGACCGATGGACAGGCATTCGAAGGGTTCAAGGATTACGAAGCCACAGCTGGCATTTAAACCCAAACAAATGATCTGAGTAAGAAATCTAGATGTGGCCGAGGTAATTTCAGGCTATGTAACAGGGCATTCACGACCTAAGCAAAGATACTGAAGTCCGGCTGTGTCCTAGCGACAGCCACTCGTTCAATTAGGAAACGAGGAGGGCGTAAGCGCGAGTCAAAAACAGCTACATGATCTGCACAAGAATTCCATGGCCGAACAGGGTTCCGCCAAAACATGACATAACTAGAAAACAAAACATTCGAACACGGTAGCTTAATACATTTAAGGAGGCATTGTTTGTATATAAAGTCGGTGGGGCGGCCATATACGTACACAAACATGAGTAAGCAAAGGTAAGAAAAGTCCTACCCACCGGCAACAGCCTCCAAGTGCTCCTGGGTAATTTTGTTAATGACGGTGGTCAAACGTTTCAACCTGTCGAAC